TGAGGCGAATGACCACTCAAAACGATCGTCTCGACGAGTAGAACAAAGCCCAATAGGTTTCACTTTCTGAAATTGGCTAAAATTTCCGGGATCTGGACCGAAAGGTTGCGGCTGCAGTATCTTCAAACTCAGATCCTGGAAAATCCTTCCGTCGAATCACGAAAGTGATTTAAAATATGAGTTCCTCTCGTTGAGATCTTTGAATAGATAGCTCAAATCCGACACCCGAAGCTAATACTTTAAGATTGTTGGAGGTTATGAGGTTGAGAGAGAAGGGTTCATAGGTGCTTAAAGTATTACACCAAGAGATATCAAGGTTGGAATGCTCAACAGTGTTATTTAGGAAACCCTAGATATAATACAAGCTATTGGGCTCCAGCCCATATGGACCCAAATAACCATACTTTCACCTATTGGGCTTATATGTGAACATACTATTATTGATTATACTATTAATATATCCAACAATATATTGATTAACTTTTATTTTGTAACATGAGATAAAATTATTCCTTACAATTAGATGTGTAAATGGGTCAGACTTTGGCCTTCATGGTCTAGGCCTACGTAAATATATTTTGAGTATATTTGGTCTATTAATCTATTAAAAACTTGGTTTATAGGTCAAGTCCAACCTACTGTTAAAAAATAAAACTCTAACATGGCCTGTAGGCCTTTTAGGCCTATCAATTATGATATATTTATAAGAATAATATGAAACCAATAAATTTCGGTGGGAACCTGGCTTAAAATTCTCTTTTTTCTAACTAAAATTTCCAACGAACGAGTTGGTGCTCCAGGGAAGGAACTAGGGTGAGAAATAAGAAGCGACACACAAGAGAAGGAATTAGGGTTGTGAGTTGGGACTTAGGATAAATGTATAATAGTTAAGATAAATATATTATTTCATTTTAAAAATTAATAGGCCGGCCTACAGGCTTGTAGGCCAGGCTTTTCTTAGTTAGCCTATTTGTTAAATAGCTCTTTCTACAAGCGTAAGCCTATTCTAAATTCCAAAAAGGCCAAGCCAGGCCAAACATAGGTCAGTCTGACCCACGTACACCCTACTTACAATTAAAAAATGATGTCATTTTGGAATGTGAGAAAAAAATACAGGATATTTTAGTAAATTTTATAATATACGAGGAAAGTAAAATTTACAAAATACTCTATTTTTTTTTTCCTAAATCCCGAAACGATGTTATTTTCGGGTTGTAACTTGTAAGAGATAATTTTATCCCCGGTAACAGGAAGAATTTTGTTCCTACATATATAAGGGAAAATGTTTATCTTGTCACGGGAGATAAAGTTATCTTTTGCAACTCTAAAACGATGTCATTTTGGGGTTGCAGTAGATAATTTTATCTTATGTGACAAGAGAAACGTTAATCTTATATATATATATATATATATATATATATATATATATATATGGGATGGATCTTTTGACTCCAGAGTAAGACTTATAAGTCTTGCTCCCCTTATCAGTCGTTGATGGACAAAAATCGACAATCGTCATTTATAATGTAATTAACTAATTAATTAATATGACTTCCTAAACTATAACCGTTAGATGAGCTAGGCCAAGATGGAGAATAAGACTTGTAAGTATTACTTTGGAGTCAATATATATATATATATATATTAGCTAATTAGTTATTGTTGAATGTGTCATTATAACTATCTAAGCATGAGATAGAAACAAAGGTTGCTCTATAATTCCAAAATAACAAGTTATTAATATGTGAACTCTTAGGCTCCCACCATAAAGCAGTCGTGAAGTGAAGAAGGGGCTAATAATGGTGGAAAGTTTTGTGAAAGGGAATGCAAAATTAAAATTCATATGAATTTAGACGGGGAAACATAACAGTGGTCAATATGTAGCTAATTATGAAGAATTCTTCAAGTTTTCTTCGTACATAAGAAATAATAAGTGCGAATGGGGAAAATTTATGTTACACTACTTTTCTTTTAAGTCTAAATGTAGTCTAAAATAAAAATTTGATGAATTTGAGGGGGTGATCATCCATCTTAGCCCGTTCTCTGGCTCGACCATTGTGGGCTAAGGTGGGTGATTGGTGTAGCATAAGTTTTCTCCCTCAAGCTTAATCTTTTAATTTTGGTTTTTATTATTTCTTATATACAAAAAAAAATAAAATCTTTTCAAATCTGACTATATATTGACCCATTATTGTGTTATCTGCGTGAATTGTGAGACCATTTGCCCCCTCTCATAAAAAGTTTTTTAACTCCACTTTATCCTATAGTTGTGAACAAGCAGAGTCTCCTAATATCTCATAAACTGGGGAGCAAATCTTGTGCAGTCTCACTCTTGTTGAAATATGGTCATGGAACGGGTTATTTCTAAGTGAACTGCAACCTCTAAGTCTCGTAGGAAGGAGAAACCACAACATTTCCTTGGCAAATGTAGAATTCAAATTCTGAGGAAGTCTCTAAATTGAGGCTCTTATGATTCTTTGTCGAACATATATATGAACTACTACATCTCTCATACATTACTCTGATATTAATTGAACAAGCTAAATCATCAGCGAATTAAATGATCACAAGACTAGTTACCCGTATCAGTTATGTCTCTTAATTGAGTTAAGCATTCTGTAGTTTAATTTGCTATAATGGTGACGAGACTTTCATATATGTACAAAAACACCAAATGCTTCGAGAATCAGAGCTTTAAAAACATCTGTCCCTCAACGAACTCTAAGATAATTCCACCCTAAGGTATTAGAATGCCATAATTAGTTATGTATTTAGTATAACATTAAACAACAAACTATTGTATGTGATAAGTGTCAAAGACACTGTTTCTAGGATCAAAGATATGTTAGATAATTGTGAATATGGTCAAGAACATAGTAAAAATTAATAAATGCAAAATACTTTAGGGTTTTAATGTTTGGACATGATTTTGACTTCGAATTATATTAATTTCAGGTTTAAAATGAATAAATCACAACATTGATGGATCAAGGAAGTTGGAAGAGACAAAGTTCAAGTCAAATGAAGACCGGAAATCATCATTTTGTGCTCGCTGGCTTGCTCGCTCAAGTCCAGCAAACTTGCCCAGAAAACCCTAATTTAACCTACTGCTCACTGGCATGCTCGCCAAGCAACTCGCTTAAGCGAGCAACTTAGCGAGTAGTGACCCAATTGATGGCCCACAAATATTTTCATAAAAAGGGCACAAATTAGGTCAATTTCATTGATTCTTGTGCTGCCAGAGGTATCTGAGAGAGGCAGAGGAGCAGTTTCTTGAGGAGAATAAAGAAGAACATTCAAGATTTCATCATTACTCTTTAATCACTAAGTTTCCTTATGACTTTTCATTGTTTTTCATCTCTTGTTCTTGTTTCTATGACAATACTAGGTTAGCTTTTTTTATGTGGTTAGGGTTGGTAGAACCAATGGGTTCCTAATGTTCTTTACTGCTTTCTTGTAATTGATAGACATGTTTCTCGTTATGCAATTAATCGGTTTCCAATTCCTAGTCTCGTTTATGATTTGGCCAATCTTGAAGGAGCATTAGAGTCTTGCATGACAATAGGAATGTTAGTGTTTGATTTCGATTGATTAATTGTTGGGGTTTGTATGATCTAGGTATAGACTTATGAATCCTATGGTTTTATGATTCTTATTCTTATGTCTTGCTTTAAAAGAAATCACTAATGGATTAGGGTTTTGAATAAAGTAAAGGATTAAATCACCAAGGGATTGAAGTTTAATTAATTTAGAAAGAATCATCAATAACATGTTTTTGAATATTGATTACATGAAAAGATAGATTCATTGGGAAGACATTGGGGTAAATCGAATCCCTAGCCACGCTTGATTTTAATTGATTTCAATCCATTATTGTCTTCGTTCTTGATCTTGGTTTTGTTAATAGTTAGTTTTAAAATTCTGTTTTTTTATAATTTAAAAATATTCTCAAGAAAAACCATTTTGATCAATCCAACTTTGATCGTATAAATACGTTAGTGCTTGATACATCAATTATCGTGGGTACGAAACCCTACTTTTTCACTATATTACTTATACGACCGATATATTTACCGTGATCGCAACAGCTTACAATCATAATTTTCTAATATAGCAGGAAGTAATGAGTTTAAGATCACACGTACCTTCAAGGTGAACCATCTTTTGCATGGCTGTGGGAACAATCATGATAGGCATTGATATTTTGAAGCTCAATACGTTTATGGTCATGTCTATCTTGCATACATCAATTTGAATAAGTGATCAGAATTCATAACCTATTTTAAGTGATTCAAACAATTTTTCTGAAAAAGTAACGGAGAGAAAGATTAAAGAAAAGAATTGTAATGAAGTGTCAATAACGGGAACATCTAAATGTATTCTTGGTAATCAAAGCCAAGTATAATTAATTAAGGATCTGTTTGCTTGTATTTGTTTAAAGAAAATAGTATTTGTTATTAAAAAGCATTTGAAAATATTTTAAAAAGTTTTTGTACTTTTATCGAAAGCCAAAAACCAATTAACCGGTGATACAATTGGTCCAAGTGAGTCAATAGATCAATCATGAAACATACCCGGTGAGAAAGAACTGGTTCAACTCGGCGATTTTTGGCAAAAACTGGTGACCCGACGAGTTTTCTTTGAACCGGTTCACTGATGGATCATGCAATTTTTTTTTTTTTTTTTTTTTAAATAATTGTTAAATGCAGAGTTTTTACACTAATACCAACAACTCAAATCCTTAAATTGCAACATACCTATATGTATATTTAGGCTCTTTGACTCATTTGAGGTTTCTCTATATGATTTTACCCCACTTTTTTTTTCAACTAGTTCCTTCTCTTCCCTTAGCGGAATTGATTTTTTTTTTTACCCAGCTCTGACCCCTTCCCCTAACGGAGCTAGTTTGTTTGTGTTTTTTCCAACCAATTCAGCCCCCTTTCCCAATGGGTTTCCTCCCTTTCGATTACAACTTCACGACCATCAGCAAATTTGTATCTTTACACAACACCATATGTTCCATCACCAATCTTGTTCTCAAGTGAGAAATTGTTGGTTGCTGCAACAAGCTTAGCAAGGGTGAACTCCTTTGCCATATCTGGATATTTTGTTGATGAGGTTCCACTCCTCTTCCTTCTCATTATCCTTGAACTCTGATGCCTAATGGTAGATGAACTCGAAGGTGGACTATTATTTGAAACAGACACACCCATTGACTCTGCCACCTTTAGTGATTGTTGGTTGCACATGATTGTAGTTTTTCTTCTTCCCAAAACAAACCCTAATCCACAAGCAATAAACTACTATGCAAATACCAAAAACACCTCCCACGGATCCAACATTGACAAATGAAGGAGAATTTATATTCAAGTTAATAAAAAAAAGTTTAGCCGGGGGAAATGGGCATAATTAGTTGAAAAAAAAAGGGTTTCACTAGGGGTGGGGGGTGCTCGAACTCGCTGGACCCCTGGGCGGAACCAAATGCATCCTAGCGGTAAAATCATCCCACTTTGCACTAAACAGGTGAATTGGGTGCGGGAAGACCCCAAATAGGTCAAAGAGCCTCTGTATTTAAGTATTTGAATATTTATGTGAAATATTGAATATAATATATAAATTTACATGTATTTATATAGGTCAAACGGGTTAATCAATGACCTACTGATTAAACCAATAACCCACTAAACTAGTATCCTAACCAAGTTAACAAACATGAACGAGTTTAATAACATTGCTAAAAAAAAGAGTCAAGTCTTAAAAAAATTATATCATAAAAGTATTTTTTTTTTAAAAAAAAACTTCACAGAACGGACTCAATTGTTAAAAAAAAATAAAAAAACATCCGAGAGATGAGATGGATCCGTGCTCTGCTGCTTATAGTTCCAAAGGTGTACAAACCCAATAATTGTTATCTAGACTCAGACAAGAGTTGCATGCTTACAAGGATGACATTGACAACACTATTCCTCTCATGGTACTGGGTAACATTAATTTAGCAGTCTGCCTTTGTAGGCTTCAAATAACAGGCAAACATATCATCATCTTGCGGTCCATCCGACAAGTTTAATACTATACATAGACAGGGAGAAGTAGAGATTGAAAGACCAATTTGTAAAAGAATCCTGATCCCATTTTTTTTTTATCATTTTCTATTGTTTCTTATTATGAATTGCAGGTCAAGTGATACATATCTAGCACAAATTATAAATTAATTTACAAAATTATATAAAACAAAGCTCCATAACACATTAGAAACAGTCCATGCAGTTTTTCATAATTATTAATATTATTTCTCTCTGTTCTGTTCTATACTACTACTCAAGTACTCATTGTGTTAAAACTTTGCAAGTTGCAGGTAAAAATTGAGAATTCCTCATAAGATTCTCTCTATGTGTCCCTCTCAACCAAAACAAGTTCTGAGGTGTGCATCTTTTTTATGTTGGCAGCAACAAGGGTGCTTGCAGCATGCTCATTCGTATCAGAACCGACAGTGTCCTGTTACTCTTTCTAAAAGGCTGCCACAGACAACAACACTCGAGCATTGGACTTGTGAGTTGAGAGCCAGCATTTCCCCAAAGATACAAAAATCAAATAGAAAAATCCAAATGTGAACCTTTTTTCTTTCACCTTTGCATGTAGATGAAGTCCTAGCATTACACTGCATGGAATTTTTATAATAATTTCCAAGGACATCTCTAACAAGAACATTACCTATTAATACACTTAAAGTTTCAGTACCACCAAATATATATATGAGTAAAGCATTTTATAAAATTACATTCCCAGTCTCACAAAAACAAATTCAGGAAACTAAGGATAAAATTTAAAACCAAGTTAAATTGGATGACTTGTGGATCCAGCCATGATGAAGTTGAACTTGTGTTGCTTTCGTACCAAGATGGCTTTATTCCCGCTGGATCTTCTGGTGGTCCTTCAGCAGAAGAGTTGCCATTTCTGGGTCTTATGCTCACACAAGAGGGTATTTCCAAGTATGAAGAGAGGTTCTTTTTGTTTTGCTGATCATCAATGATGCACAGGTCACTGTTTCCTCTTACATCCAACCTCTTACCAAGCTTTTCAATGAAGTCATCAGGGAGCTGTAGAACTCCATTCAGCTTGTTGTGGCTAATATTCAGTTGATCTAAGTTTGGGAGCAAACCTAGATTTGGAGGAACTAATCCACTGAGGCTATTGTTATCCAGTGAGAGAGCTGTAAGGTTCTTCAAGGAAGAGAAAGAATTGGGTATGGAACCAATCAATCCACACCCTGAGAAGCTCACTGATTTGAGCTTCCAAAGGTTCCCTATGAAGGAGGGTATCCCTGCTTTGATGGGGTTGTCATCAATGACTAAATATTCTAAAAGCTCCAAACTTGACAGGTTTTCAGGAATTGGCCCACCAATATAATTATGACTCAGATCAAGCAACACTAACCTCTTGAGCATTCCTAAATCAGGAGGTATTTCTCCACTAAGCCTGTTTGAGCTCAAATCCATCTTTTGGAGAAGTTGAAGTTGTCCAAGAGAATAAGGCAGATTCCCTTCAATTTCATTCCAACTAAGGTCCAAAATGGTCATACTTCTCAAACCTCCAATTTCCATGGGGATTTGACCACTGAAGTTATTATAACTCAGTTCAAGTTGCTCTAGACAAACCAAACCACCAATCTGTCTTGGGATGTTTCCATGTAAGCTATTCTGGGACAGGCTAAGGACCCTAAGACTAGTAACACCACCCAAACTTGGAGGTATTTCTCCAGAGAGTGATGGGTTAGACTGCAAAGCCAGGTGTTCTAAGGAAGAGAAAGGACCAAAGAGAGTTGTGGTTAGAGTGACTGGTGAAGCAACAAAACAGTTAAAAATTGAAAGGGTTTTCAAATAACTGAGTTTCAGCAAGGATTCTGATAAGTAAGCAGAGGATTTGCAAGGTGGGGAGAGTATATCAGGACCAATGTGGATCTTTGTGACATGAAAGATTGGTGGGTCACTGCTAACTTCACACTCAACTCCAGGCCATGGAGTGTCTGTACATGGCTGAGGGTGTGCTTGGGCCCACTCAGGATCATCCACAAGAGCATCCATCACTTCAAACAATCCCAACAACTCCTCCTCTTCCATTACCATTTCTTCCCCTCGTACATTGCTTCCCATTGTCATCAGTTCACCAGCAAACAAAAGGAACCAAACAAGGAGAAGAGACAGAGAAGCCATTTGAAGACAATGGCTAAACACTAAGAAGCTCAAAGTGAGACAAAACCACAAATGGAGTTTGCAAAGTTAGTTGTTTTGGAGCCAATTGAAAAGACTAAGATCCACTTTCTCCATATAAGCTTTCTTGAATTGTGTTGATGGCAAAGGAGAAGAATGTAAAGGTAAACTCTAAGCATCTCATTTTTGTGAAGGCTACCAAGAAAAATCCAAAACTGTCACCCTTAGCTTCCCACAATTTGCAATTGTGAGTATGACAGTGTTAGTTTGCATGGAAAAGGGTGTGAGTGAGATGGGGAAAGACAAATGGTTTACTATAAAAGGCAATGTACATTTCCAGAACAGTTAAATGGTTAATTCAAATAAATGTAGCATTGATAAGACATGGCTGTGTGCGCATGCATGGGACAAAGTCATGGACCCCCGACCATACACTACACTCAGTGATAATCAACAGAGACCTACATTCTTTTTCAGTTTAATTCATGAACTCATGCAAACCTTCTTCAGCTTTTGAAATACCCAACAAAAAATTTTCATTGCAGAGTTAACTACTACTACCCTTATATACCCTTTCCTAGTGTACTATAAACACTTGCCTCCCTTTTTCTACAGTACATATTTTACCAATTTTAAAATAATATTAAATAATATCAAAGCTATAAAAGGTTTCATTTCGTCCTAGATATTCCTATAGTAATTTACAAACTTCAAATTTTAATTTGTAGAAGTTTGCACTCCCACTCTGTGAATCTAGAAGTTGTTAGTTTGGGCTTTAATGTATGGGTTGCTGATGAGACATGGCCCAAGACATAAAGGACCACTTGGTCCACTTCTCCAACCGTTTCATTAAACGAAACCCACAAACGAAGTACTTTTAGCAAATTTCTTGCGTGTTACCGAGGAGATACAGATTTCCTCATTCTAAGCCAATGACTCACTGAGGGTGTGTTTGGTCAGAGGTTTTTAAAGAGATTAATAGACAAATGTGAAGTGGGAAAATTGGATGTCCATGTTTGATTGAGAGAGGTTCCTAATTTAGGTACCTAAATTCCTTTGCTAGCAAACCACTTTATCTAGCATTTTGAAGCAAGAAAGCAGGCCAAAGAAACCCTTTTCTGATATGGTTTTCTCAATTAGCTATGCATTTGGGTATACTGTGTAATAAGGAAAAGACTTATTTTTTATGGGTAAAGGGCAGTTAGCCTCATTAGACCGTACATCTTTCTTGGTATATCCAGATAGTAGATAGGAAGATAAACTGAAACATTCTGGAGCTACAAAGATGGTTATTAAATCGTTAGCGCCGCATAAAAACATTTCTCCTAGAGTAGCTGTTAATACAAATAACATAAACTTGTTATAGCTTATCAATATTTTTTAAAAAACAAGGATATTTTTATAATATCACAATTTTTCCCATCTATATTTTACCAAAAGTCAAACATAGATTTTACAAAAGTTACCTAATTTTCCCGGTAAATTTTTTTTCTATCAAACAACTTTTTTTACATTTTCCTACCAAACTAATTTCCTAACCATTTCCCTATTAATCACATTTCCCTATGATTCATAAAAATTTCTCTTCAACCAAACATTCCCTGAGAGAAAGTGAGAATCTTTGCAACAATTCACCCACCTCCAATTTAGGGTGTGTTTGGGAATTCATAGGAGAAGAAAAACGAACGAAGAGAATCCAAAAAAAAAAGAAAAAGGAAGAGAGGAAGGAAAGAAAAATGAAATATATTATCACTACTTATTCCGGAGTTAAAAATATGATAATCGAAAAATTAATGAGACATATTTATAATTTTATCATTTCTTAAAACACTAATATAATTATTATATTTTACGAATGAAGTTAAATTTAAAATTTCTAAAATAATCATTTATATAATTTTCATATTTAAAAAATGATTCTCACTCTCAACAATTATTTTATCTCTCATTCTAAATTTTTTTTTTCTCACGAAAATTGTCTATTTCACATTATAACTAAATTAAAATTATTAAAAAATTTATAAATTACATATATAAAAGTAAATCACTTATCTCAAAACAATACAATTGAAAACAACAATGTACCAAAAAAAAAAAAAAAAAAAAAAAACAACAAGAAAACAATTTCCTCAAATAACTTTAAGAAAAAGCGGAAAGACATATAAATAATTTATTATATTTTTCCTTTCAAACCCCCAAATTGAGAGAATTCTGATTTTAAAAGTGAAAAGAGTATTTGAGGGTTTTAGAAGGAGAAGACATAAATAAAACCTTCCTCCTCATTTCATTTCGCTCCGAGCAATCGAACCAAATGAGAATAACAATTAAAACGAGTGAAGACAATATTAGGGTTATTTTAGGGATTAAAGTCATATTGGAGTGACAAAAGAGTTAACTCAACGGGAGTGGTTCTGAAATTTCTTAAGCAACTAAAGATGTTTCAAAATTTTGTTTGGATTACTAAAGTGGGTCACCCGTTTTAATACCTAACTTGAGCTTTAATTATTGGAAAAAATATTTATCCTTTTAAATGACACAACTTATATTTTTTCATTCTTACAAAGGGGTGAGACTCATACCTTTATATTTTTTTGTCTACTCTCTCTCCTCTTTATCTATCTCTTTCTCTCACTAAAAATGACACAACTTTACATCCTTTAAAATAATACACATTTTTCACTTAATTGTTTGGATACAAGCTTAAAGAAAAATGACAGCAAGCAAACCACAACTCCAAATCGTGGTTCACTTCAAGGAAAACCACACAAACCCTTTAAATACTTGTCTGAGTTTTTTTAATGAAGACAAAAGTACTTATCCTAGATGAGAAAATAATAATTGTAATCTGAATAACAACCTAATAACTATAATAAGAAGATGCAATTAGGATAAGATTAGCTAAATTAAAATGGAGACTATCCTATTAACAGTCTCTCAATTAAGGACATAATATTCCTACATCCTTGTAAGCGCCCTTGTCCTCGGTATTGAACTTGCAATTTTTACCAGCTTAATCTTAAGCTTAAATATAAATGTTAATATATAATTGTTAATAATTGTTAATTGTTAATATATATATATATATATATATATGAGTTTAGCGGATGTACAGTGACTGCACCTAAGGATTGGTGCAGTCATATAAAACTACGTCGTTTTATAGTGTGAAAGCATTAAATTTCAGAAACCATAACCATACAAAGGTAGAAATAAATATAAAACATTAAATATGAGGAATCATAACCATACAAAGATGGAAATGAATACTATGTTTCCTTTTTCTACAATTAATTTTGAAAGCAAACTTCCTTTTCCTTACCCAAAATGACGTAGTTTTTAGGTGACTGCACCAATACTTACATGCAGTCACATTACAAATCATTTTGCCTATATATATATATGATAAGCGTTATTTCAATCCAAAATCTTAAGGTATTAGGTGAAGCTAAATTAATTATTTTATATTTCTCTAACACACTCCCTCGTGTAAGAGTCCTTTGGGCTTAAAGTGTGGATATGGTACAAGCCCATTATTGATTTGTCTTGTGCTGCACAAGCTAATTTTTTTATCTGCCTTGTGCTTTTCTTAATTCCATCTGAAATTGGAGGCGGTGAGGATCGAACTCGTGATCTCGTGGTCACTGAATCTCTGATACCATGATAAACGTCATTTCAACCCAAAACCTTTATATATATATATATATATATAGGGTCAGGATCATTTTACACCAGTGTAAGTTACACTCTCAATCTTGTCCGTTGATCCCACTTATATATAAGGTGTAAGAACCTGCACCGTTAATTAAGGAAATTAATTAATTAATTATGTAAAATTAGGAAATAATTCCATAATTGACCCTAATAATTATTATGAGGCTTAAATAATTATAGTAAGTGAGTATTAATGGTGAAAGTCACTTTTCGGACGAAAAGTGCAGATACTAGTTCTGCTAGTCGGTATAAATGCGTACCGATGAAGTATCCCAGAAAATTATAATAAGTGCATGAATATTCCTAGAATAATATGTAGGACTGTGATTTCAAGTTTCAAGTTAAAATAATGAGAACTGGTGCCAGAACTGATACTGGCTATGGAAAAGCGCGTACCAGAAAGGTGTTGCGATAAATAAAATAAAAAAATGATAAATCTCAAAAAAATGAGTAGGTTCAGAATCCTAAGTTTGGGATTAAATTGCTAAGCGTAGCAATTAGCGCTAATACAGTGCGATTAAGACTTAAGTAACTATACATAACTAGTGGCACATGATCCTAGGTCATTTTGTGCACCTCTACGTAGCATTTTTCTGGAGCCTTTGAAATCAGTCACCCTTTCCACCTTCCTCTCCATCCTTGTGAGCCAAGGAGCCACATTTCTTAATGAAACCTTCACCTAAACACTTGTGGTGAGTGAGAGTGAGTTTTGGGAGGGTGTTGGTGGCCTTGTTTCTGAGTTAGAGGGTCAGTTGTGTTAGAGTGAGGTGCTGACTTTGAGTTTGGAGAGGGTGTGGACCTTATGCTTGGTATTTGTGGTGCCAAGGAGTCATCTTTTGTGCAAGAACCAACCTTTGGTGTGCCATTTTCGTGTGCCTTGAAAGTCAGAACTGTAGAGGCAGTATGGTGAGCTCCAAGAGCCATTGTTGCTCTGTTTTGAGCTTGGGTAAGTGTTACCAACCTTGATCATGAGTTGTTGATGTTTAAAAATGGAGTCTTGGCATGTTAATGAGTTAAACAAGTGTGTAATATGTATATGAACCTTGAACAGAGTAAAAATGCATGCTTTAACGATTTAGTAGGTTAAAAGATGAACCTTTGGAGTGATATCTCGCGAAATGCAGAAACTGCATTCTGTCGCGAAATATTCGGATATTGATATCCGGATATAGGGATCTGGATATCCGGATATTGATATCCAGATAATGGCATAGAGATATCCGGATATTAATATCCGGATATGCCCCCGACATATATCCGGATATTCTGGATTTTCGTGAACAGTAACGGTA